CACCTGATACCCCAGTGGGCTGTTGATAAATTCCAGTAACTGGAGGTCCTGGTAACCCAGCACCTGGTATGTGTATGCCTGGCACTCCTACACCTGATATTTGTGCAGTTGGTGCTCCTATTCCTGGGACTCCTACACCTTGTATTTGTGTACCTACTGGAACTCCTACACCTGGAATTCCAAAACCTGGTATTTGTGGACCTGGTGCTCCAACACCTGGTATTTGTGCACCTGGTGCTCCTACTCCTGGAACTCCAAAAACTGGTATTTGTGGGCCTGGAACTCCTGGAGCACCAACACCTGGTATTTGTGCACCTGGTCCTCCTACTCCTGGAGCTCCAAAACCTGGTATTTGTGGACCTGGAGCTCCTACACCTGGTATTTGCACAGTTGGAACTCCTACACCTGGTGCTCCTACTCCTGGAATTCCAAAACCTGGTATTTGTGCACCTGGTCCTCCTACTCCTGGAGCTCCAAAACCTGGTATTTGTGGACCTGGAACTCCTGGAGCTCCTACACCTGGTATTTGCACAGTTGGAACTCCTACACCTGGTGCTCCTACTCCTGGAATTCCAAAACCTGGTATTTGTGCTCCTGGAAGTCCAGCACCTGGTATTTGCACAGTTGGCACTCCTATTCTTGGAACTCCTACACCTGGTGCTCCTACTCCTGGAATTCCAAAACCTGGTATTTGTGCTCCTGGAAGTCCAGCACCTGGTATTTGCACAGTTGGCACTCCTATTCTTGGAACTCCTACACCTGGTGCTCCTACTCCTGGAACTCCAAAACCTGGTATTTGTGCAGTTGGTAATCTGGCTCCTGGAACTCCTACACCTGGTATTTGTGCACCTGGCACTCCTATACTTGGTACTCCCACACTTGGCACTCCTATTCCTGGAACACCATCTGGTATTTGTATACCTGGCACTCCAGTTAGTACTCCCACTCCTGGTGCTCTTGGAACTTCACTTGGTGCTCCTGGTACTCTGACAGGTTGCTGGTAAACTGGCTGTGGTGCACCTGGCACATAATCAAACTGTCCTGGTTGTGTTCCATAACCATAACCTCCTGGGAAGCAACCTTCACACCCATTCCCCTGCCCAGACTGACTCTGAGCTTGACCCATTCCATTTGTTCCACCTGCAATGACATACAGTACCTCAGTTTTATTTGTATATGTATATGGCTTGGCAAAATATTGGTCTCATGTTGGTACATCACTTATGAAAAATTAATATCTCTTAGTGTTTCTGCTTAGAGGATATTGTGTGTGTACAGCAGTTTACTTTTTGTTTCTGTTTTGGGTATAATTGTTGAATGATGGTGCTAGAAAATCAACCAGACTAGAGTGCAACACTACTTGCCCACATGCAAGAAGTCATCAGCCAGTGTTAACAAAATTTCTTCAGGTAAGGAAAATGAAGTACATGAAGTGTGAATAAGGAAGAAGTTCTTCAGAATAAACTAGAGCAGTGGTTCTCAAAATGTGATTTTCCAACAGCCTAGGGATAACTAAAATAGACCAGCAGGAAAAAGAAAATTTCGTGTTTTGATATTGTAAAGCAAATTAAAGAAAACACTAAAATTGGTGGCAGTCCTGCTCTGTTAATTTTCATTAAAATATTTATCTTTCAGGAGCTTGTTTCTGTTTCATAGTTAAGATGTCTAGTTGAACTAGCTTCAGTTGCTTATGAAATTAAAATGGTTTGCAGAACAGCATACAAAGTTTTAGCTGTGTGGACAAGGACGAGGTCAAATGGATATCTCAAATAAAAGGGACCCATAGGAATAATTCTCAGAAGTAAACAACTGTAGATACTTTTTGACACATTCTGATTTTTTAAAGGAACAGGTTTGTGGAAGATAAAGTATGGGAACCACTGAACTACGAAATACTTTTGATATTCTGGGTTTTTGAAAATGTATATGGATTTAAACATGTTTTGAACAAACTAATCTTACAAAATTGATATAGTATAGTTGATATAATAATAAGCAAAAGAATTTGTTTTAAAAGTTTGTGATGATTTTAAGAAACACCATGCAAGTTAGTGTGTGTGTGTAATGATAGAAACAATTACTGAAAATTGGACTGACTTTGAAAGCCCTAAGCCATGAGCCTCAGCTTTATGCATTTTTTGCATAAAGGGTATAAAGTACTTTCATAATGGATGAATATTGTTTGCCTGCATGTTTAATATTGAACACCACTTTCTGAACATTGCATCCTAGTGACTAGTTTCTGTTTCTGTTTATGGCGCTACAGCCCGAGCCGAGCCTTGGCCTTGTCCCATGTGGGAGGTTTCTTTGTCTTAAGTGTGCATTTATGAGTAGTGAGTGCCAAGCCCACTGCCTCTGCACAATTTCTGCTCAATCCTGATTTGTCTGCTAGAGCCATCTAGTAGTGAATCAGGAGAGACTTGGTTGAGAAATGGGCACTGAATTTTGCTTACAAAACATCTCGTTCATGCTCGTAAGGTTTTTTCACATGACGTAAATTTATGACATGGGACCACTGTCTTTACTTCCCCTCCAAAGGAAGTTGTGCTACAGATTTTTATCACACTTAAAAATCCATCAACCTCGGCCGGGTTTGACCCGCGAACCTTGGGTCCAGTGGCGAGCACGCTAACCACTAGTCCACCGAGGGCAACCTAGTGATCAGTACTTCCACTTATTTTGGCAATCTCAGATTTAGCACTTGACCTAGTGGCCTGTTAAACTGGCTGAGTGGTTTTATGGTTTTTTCAGTCCTTCCAGGTATATACTGGGATGACACCTTGAATTAGGCCACTACTACTTTTTTCCCTTTAAATTTTATCTTTGTATTTGATAGTATATAACCAGTTTAGTTGGAAGAGTCCCTTACTTTATGTGATACTGAAGTTGGAGGACAGAGATGGTATACTTATAATCACAGAAAAAAAACACATTTGAGAATTGTGTGTTGGCAGCAACTTTTCATCATTTGTGCCCTTTTTCTGGATGTTATAGAGGTAGTTCTGTGTGACAGCAATTCAGCTAATTGTGTGGATTATGTTATGTATATTGACAGTCTTTATGAGCAGGGTTTGCTCAGTCAATATAGTGACTAGCTACGGGCTGGACGATCGGGGTTCAATCCCTGACGGGGGCAGAGGATTTTTCCTCTAGCCTCTGTGTCCAGACCGGCTCTGGGGTCCACCCAGCCTCCTCTACAATGGGTACCGGGGTCCTTTCCCAGGGGTAACGTCGGCTGGGGCGTGATGCTGACCACTCACACTCATCTAGTGCCGAGGTCAAGGAAGGAAGGAGCTATACCTCCACTCACCCCAAGCGCTTGTACAGCATGTAGCGGGACAAACACAATATTGACGGTCTTTACTTTGTAATTTTCTGTGTATGCAGTATTGTGTTTATTCACAAGAGTGGAAAGGTGTACTTTGAGATGGTGATACAGCACCTTGAAAGGATTTATTTTAAATGGTAAGGTTGAAGATTTCATGGTAACAAAGTGATCAGCTGTGACAGTTTTGAATAAAAGTCTAACATTTCAGAGACCATCCTGAAACATTGGACTTTAGTACCAAATTTACATGTCTTATCACCAAAAATGGTTTTAGCACATGCTTTCTGGCAACTGCTTCAGTTTAATATTATCATTTGTTCATGTGAGCAAATTTGTAAGTGAAATACTTAAGTCTTGTATAGGTTATCCTGGCATGGAAAGGGAATTTTAAATATAACTCTAGCAGGTGTAAGTAGTGCTTAAACAGTACCAATATAAGGAACTGCTGATAATAAGAGAACATTTCATGTTTCTTGTGGACATTAATGTCTTAAGTTACTTACTGACATGAGTCCTTGAAAGGTCTGGGGAAGACTCCGCCTCTGCTTTGCCTTCATTCCCACCATTCTGGAAGGCAAGGTACTGTGTCTGTGTCTGGCCCCTGTGCCGGCGACTGTATCCCCTGGTAGTGTAAGTTTGGCGCTTTCTTCGACCTTTGACCTGTTGCAAAAAAGCATCTCCAGTTTGAGGTTCTAAAACCTGGAGTTCCTCTTGATCAGGTAGCTCATTGTTCACAATTCCCTTGCGGAACTGAGGTCGCATTTCTTGCAGGAGGGTTGCAGGGAAATCACGACAGAAACTGGAGATTCTGGACCCTGCTACTCTCCACACCTGAGGAATGTACATTAAGAAGAATTAGAAATTGGTGATCTCAGATTTTAGCTACCTGTACATCTAACATAATAATTCCTTTCTTTTTATATTTTTAAGAGGAGATGTCCTATGAAATATCACATTATGAAGACTTGAACAGGGAAAAGGTCAACACCTGGCATCTAGAAACCTAAAATTACTACCACACAGATCTGAGCCTTAGCCTTTCTGGATAATTTTCTGCCACCTTTTTGAACCATTCTCCTTGGATAAAAGTTGGCACATCACAAGGCCTCTAGAACAACACAATAAAAAATGCAGACATACATACATCCATGCCTCAAGTGGGATATGAACTCAATGTTCAAGCAGCAGAGACTCTAACCTTGAAACATTTCCATAAAAATAATTTTTTTCTTGTGAAGAAGTTTCTGTAAGTTTTTCAAGGGTCTTTATCGAAGAGGTTGGCTTAGCAGTGACTTGTATTTAGAAGGCACCCTACTGGATTTGAATTTCAACCAGGAAATGGCTGTCCAGACTAAGGTTTTATTTTTTTTAATTTCTCAAAGTGAATGGCAAGTAGTTCCAGATAGCCCATATTTATCTCTGTTCACCATTAATGATCATGTACATACATTCTACACCATAATATCCTGTTACATCACCATTAAAGAACCAACGAATCAATTGTATTAAATGCCGGAAACTCATGATTATGCATTATTTAAAGGAAGATGTAAGATTACCTGGGAATATGCTTTTAATAATGAACATTTCTTGATACATCTCTGTATATTGGTGAGATTTTAGCCGATTTTTCAAATTGGTAAGGAAACTGAGGCTTATAATATCCATATTATGCGTTTTCTTATTCTTAAACCCCAGTTTATTTAACAAACCTTTCTCAACTGCTTAGGTCAGGTACTTGCAGTTTGTGACCCATGGGACAATTTTGTGATATGTGAGCTCATAATAGTTTTCTTTACAACTAGGATAATTTCGAAAAGTTTTAAATTTTGAATATCCGTTTTATTTCTTACCTGTTATATTAAAACCAAACGTCGCGGTGAGTAGTTATCACTCCTTCGTATTTGGGATGTCCCGGCTTCAAATCTCGGCCCTGAGACCAACTATCCTGACTGGTTTTTCGTGGTTTTCCTCGGTATTTCCAGGCAAATGCCGGGATGGTACCTTAAATTAGACCACGACCACTTCCTTCCATATCCTTTCCATTAATTAATAATTAAACCTATCATTCGTCGCAATATAATCTGATCTAGTGACAGTATCGAGTAGACCATAAATTAAATACGTACAAATGTTTTATTACACACTTGCTCTGCGAAAGCCAGAATATAGTTTAGCAAATCGAATATATGTTCAACAAAATTGGACATGATTATCAGTGGAAGTATTACAGTCCATAAGTTACAAATTGTCCTAACTAATCGACTGCATGACATAGCCATAAAGTCTACTGTAAGAACGTCCATGCCCTAGTGCATTCTTTTTCTCAGGAATATGGTTAACTTCATCCGCTTTACCACCATGGAAAAGGCCCCTTATACACGAAAGGGTTCAGTGGGGCTTACAGCCGGACTGAAAGTTTGATAATCCAGCCCGTCTGGAGTAATCACGGCTCATAAATTCTGTTGTAGAGATATCACACTGCAGAGTATGATCGGAGTCGTCTTTGAGAAGTTTATAGTCGCTCAGCTAGTCAATGTATATCCCACCTTTTATGAAACCTGAAAGTTCATTACGATGGCAAGACCATGCTACTAGACTCTACTCTTTTATACAGCCATGATTTATTTCTTTAAGATCAGTTTTAATAATATCCTCACATCTGCGTCTGATTCTTCCAGGTAGTATTTTTGTTTCAGGTTTTCCTACTAAAATGTATGCATTTCTCACTACAAAAATCTGTTCTTGACAGAGCTAATCAACAATACATTTATTACACTGCATAATATTTTGATGAACCTTTGAAACTGAAGGACCACAAGAAATAGATTGGTCTGCCTGTAAATTTCTTGGAGCCCCTTCTGTCAGACATCATTTTAGTTTGACTTGCAAGCGCGTTACGACTCAAACTCAGGAATATCTAGATGGTTGAGCTTCACACTCCGGCCGCATTTATTCTAGGGGAAGGGCACAAAGAGCTCTTTTTGACTAGATGAAAAGGGAGAGGTTCCATTTTGTTTTAGTTAGCTGATATGGCGCTACAGAAATCTGGTAATATGCGATTCTTGGACTAGGCAGAGGCCTTTCTAGATGTAAGATATGATATTGAGGTGTGGGGGTAATGCTCTGTAAACTTGTCTTTATTTCAAGCCGAGAATTGTCCTCAGTATTTTGAACTTTACTTACCAGGCCCGTCGCCTGAATTTAATTCTTATTTTCCTCAACAAGCTAGTCGAGGAAATACGGTGTATCAAGAAGGATCGGGTCATCAGACAATTGGAAGTAAACGCTTAAACGGTTTTATTCGTTTGTTAATTGTTTTTAATTTTAATGTTCATTCTTGAAGACAGACGAACAAATGAAGGAGGCAAGGCAACCTTGATCATTGGTCTGGAGATGAATGAGATTAATTACTACAATCCAAGGCCTTTTTACTTATGTCAATTCCAGTCGTGACAAGCAAAATCTACGGAAAATGACTTTTGTTTGAAATGACACCGTAGGCGTCGTAAGCTGCTGTTTGGCAGCTAATAATTCAGGTGGTCACAAAATGCAGTGGGCCATATGCACTGTCGTAATTGGCAGGTATATGGAACCGAAATTTATCGTAGTTGCTTCTGATGTAACCAGTGATAACTTCGGTGCGGATCTACAAATATACAATTATCGCTAGTTTATGTGATGATTATTGATAGATATCAAATGACTAATGAAATGTAATCCTTAGTCCGCTGATAAACGTCGTATTATGTCATAGACTATTGAGTTAATCGCTTATAATATTACAAGCGTTAAATACCCTTGAGTTCAAATGGCATTGTTTTGCCAAAAAATACATTTCCATGTAGCACACTCGCGAATTTATCTATAGCAAAGGAATATTTTGGTTTCTTCTGAATATTGCGAGGTCTGACAATTTAGTCAGGGGATAAATTCGTTCTGTAATATATACGTACGAACACAGAAACACACATCTAAATACTCGCGTTCTGATTTTGTACAAGCATTTCAGCGTCTCTGCAATGCTTGGAAACACTGATGGGAATTATTTCTAGAAAGTCCTTTCAGTTATATTGTCACATTCGTCATCTTCAGGGGGTAAAAATGGTATCCATTAACATGACATTGTTGATATTAAAAATTTGTAAGAAAAATAAGCTTTATAGTTAAAGTTATTCGATGTTAATATATACTCCATTAACAGCCATAACATTACAGCTTATGTGTACTAATGTTAACATATTGGGTTACAACGCGGTTATTAATTTTAATTGCTGGAATGAAGATACTTTTATAAATGTAATCATCTGATGACAGTCCAGCACAGTGACTGAAACTTACTGTGAGGGTAAGAAGTTGCTCTTTCTAAATGATTTTTGATATGATTTCTCAGTATTTATCCTTGACATCCTTGACACGAACACAAATATCAACCGACTGTTACATAATCTATTGTGAATATGATGTAACCAGAACACCAAAAGCTGCTAAATAAGTGTGAGGCTTGTGGAAGATCTGCAGTATGTATGTCAGACCATGGGGGGTTTAGAAGTCAAAAGACCACCACCTGGAATTTATTATATGACTTGAAAATATATATTATTTGTGACGAAAAGCATTTAAACAATAAAGGTCTCTGTTTAATTATGAATATGGTGATAATTCACCTGCGAAGATATCTAACGAAACACAGTTTTTGATAACTCAGAGCGTCATAATATATACTCATCGGCAAATATTACAGTGATCAAATCAAGGTTGGAAGGGCATGTAAGAGATTAAAAACTGAAATCTGAATAGAAAGTATGCCTGCCACTTGGAAGACCGAGGCGGAGATGGGAGGATAATATTAATGTCTAAAGAAATATGATACGGTGTCGAGTGAACTCGTGTGACTAAGGATGTGGATAAACGTCGTCTTCTGTGAGCCTTCAGGTTCCATAGAAGACGAAACATTTTTTGATCAATTGAATGATTATTACCTCCTTAGTAAGACATCTCTTCCGTGGAACTGATACGTTTCTTCAGAGCCCCAGTGTCCAGAAATTAAACACATCTCATGCTTACCTCATATTTTGATAAGTTCTTGTCCGAGACATACATTGTCCTGGGTTTGTCTCTCATCCTGTACGACTGTCTTTGTGGCCGAAACTGTCGCATCTGATGTTTGATACGACCGTCAGTGTCCTTGATTCGTTCCAAGTAACACAGAGATTTTTCCAGGTCCTTGTACGCTGTTATTTTCTGAAAATTCAAAGCCACAGGAAATATATCTTATATAACAGAACGCGAAATTTCTCATTATATTAAAACCATTTCAACTGGCCTATACCTCTTGTGCATAGCCAGGTGTAGGACTCTGAAAGACAATACACGGAGCACCACGAGAAAACCTAATGACTCAAATAAAGGGCAGATGCTTCTTGGGGGGGGGGTAAAATGGCCCTTACCAACACCTCCATCTAATGCCCAAATCTAGAATGTGTGAGGTTTTACCTACACGTTCAAAATATGCCTTACTGATGTGATGTTTAGGCTGTTGCATGTAGTAGGCCCTTACCATGAACTAGTTTGAACTGTGTGTTTGTTTTTTCCCCTGCTATTTCAGTTTGAAGCAAACATAAGTTCGAAGTAGGTTTTTTAACTCCAGTTAAGAATTGGCATGCATGTTGCAAAGCAAAGCAAACTAAACATTGCGTTGGGTTTATTAGATGTTTGCCTCGTTCTGGGTTAATAAGGGAGGTAATGAACCAGGAAGCTCGGTTCGGTCAGTGCCTTCCTGATACGACATGAACAAGTAACGTATTTATCCGATTTCCTAGAATATTCATGCTTATAGAACGCTCAAACAGAGTGTTTTGTGTGGTGCATTGCGATGGTGTGATCCGCCATCTGAAACATCCACCGCTTGTCATAATAAGGTTTATTATGTCCCTTGTAGTACAGAAGATTTCTTTTTCGAAAATGCAAGAAGTGTCACGAACTTTGTGTTCGAAATCGGGAAAGTTTTTTGAACGACTTACAGTTATGGGGGAAGTGGGAGTAGTGGGGAAAATTTCCGACTTGGCTAAAATTTCGGTCAGTGGACATGTTAATATTACTCGATGAAATGTTGAACCTGTTATTTACTTGAAAGAACACGTGAGACTTGCATATGAAGATGACAGTGACTTTACCCCCTGTAGCCTATGCCTACGAATGTCTTACATAGACCGAAACAGGCTACATACACAGACTACCTCGAAAATGAAGGAGGAGGAAAGAATGAAATTAAGATGGAGCTATTACTATCACATACAACAGTTACAGCGGACCTACTGTCGATTCTAGGTATTAATAGAGCGGAACAGTTGTTCACAGAGAGACAGATGCGGATTAATGAGTTGCCAGTGAACATAATTACCATCGTTATCATGTTACAATTTCGGTAAATTGCAGTTAGGTGTTTCTGCGTCAATGCGATTGCCATTTACAACCAAACTGGCCGTTTTTAATATGCTCTGTTGTATGAGTGAGATCGACGAATCTGAACAAATGCTGGAATGTTGGATTCTCTTAGAATTTCGCGCAGTTTCTTCTCTTTTAGCATCCCGCGTCCTTCTATTTATACCTCAGACTGCAAGAACCTCGTAGACGCGTCGTTTCCCCAGTAAGAAACACAAACACAGGAAGACATAATCAGACTGTGCCCAGATCTCCAGTAATGGCGAAGGCTACTTGCTGCTCACCAGATTCTCGTATTATTTGGGTTCCCAAATCAAAAAGGATAAGTGTGTATGGGGGACATGCAATACGCATAAACATTTTAGTCGAAAAACTGAAAGGAACGGACTAGTAGGAAGACCTAAGCATAGATGTTGAGATAATATTAAAATTGTGATTTTAGTAAAAAATGTGTGATTATGTGAAGTGGATTCGCCTGTCTCAGGGTTAATTCCAGTAGCAGATGTCACAGCAGTGAAGCTACAGTCGCAATAAATGGCAGGTCATTTCTCGACTACGTGGCCGACTATAAGCTTTTTAAGACTGACTATTCCACGTAATAGTTCAGTGATGTTAATGGTGACTATATTAATGTCAAGGGAAGTCGGGTAATTTTCCCAGGAATGGATGACGGTCTTTTGGGGTATTGCGCCATGTAATATCGTGGAAGTTTACCAACGTTTTAGAGGCATCTCTACCGCCTCCATCATGAGGGCGAAGAGTACACGGCTCAACATTCCAGAAGGCTGCTATCTTCATACTCGTCCTATAGAACCTGCAAATTTCTAAATTCCCAGAAATAAATTTGGATTTAAGAAGGACGAAGTAAGCACAGAATTTAGGAAGGAAATGCGTGGTTTGTACTGATCACTGAGTGGTGCCTGGATAGTGGAACTGTACGATCGGTTACTCTTGTAGCTAGGATGGGGAAGACTACGAAGCACATCGGCTTTTAACTAGGAAACCTATTGAAGTTGGAGAAGGAGATAGAAAGATAACATTAAGCTGTGTCATTTGGAGGCTGGCTGTGAGAATAAGGAGGGGCTTGCAAGTAGTGTCTCAGATAGAATAGTGTCCACTGCCAAGTTTTAGTGTTATCAGTGCTGGGCCTTCGGGCTGTGCTACCACAGGTCACAAATAATATGAGTACATACGCCTTGTCAATGTAAGAATTATTTTAATACAGTACAGCTTCTGCTCCTCAATGGTTCCAACACAAGATATCTGGGCGTCTTGTCTCTCGTAGTTTGATGAAGTGGAACGCATCACGTAGCGAAGAAGCTTCAGCTGGATACTTGTCTTTTTTGTTCATGGCATATGATAACATCTTGCTGCGTACAAAATAACTGCCCTTGTTCATTATAATCCTCGCAAGCGAATGAGTTTTCGGTAGCCAAGAGCAGTCCGAATTATAAGTTAAGAACTGTACTAATATATTTCCTGTAATCAAATTCGAATAATAATAACAATAATTTGCCTCTTTTACGATGCGATAAACTGAATTACAGTCAATAAGCTGAAAAAGGAACAAGCACTGAAGCAAGAGATTTCAGATTCTCACTGTCTTCTGGGTTGTTGTGCCGTGAAGCTTTCAGTTTAGATGTTGGTGAATAAATTCCGAAAAGCAGAATTCTTCTACAAAGCGCTAGACGAAGTGCAATTTACATTATTTGGGGTTACTGTTCGACAAAATGTTATCTTCAAATTGCTACAGCAAAGAACGTTACTGTGCAATTCTCCTTAAGCC